ATGCATAGTTAAAATATTGAGTCGTTCTCTACTCTTAACCGTTTCTCAAGTTAGCAACTGCTAACCTCAATCGTTTCCAAAGCAACCACATCTAGCACCTCACTCATTTACACCACTATGCAAGTAATATCACTTCCTTCTGGCGTCTTCCGATGTGCAATAGATCTCTTAAACAAATGGAGATGATAGCTTATATAATCACCCTCTCATGAGAGGTGAACGGAAAACGGAAAACAAGAAAATCGAGGCTTTGGTTGGGCGCTTCTTCTGACCAAACCTGATCGCACCAAAACCTGAACCAGAACACCCAGAAATAAGGACGTGGGCCCAATCGACTTTGATCGGCTCTGATCGGATCGGTTTGGGTCGGATCGGATTGCTTGTGATCGTTTTTCTCGCGCCGCCCGATCAGAGATGATTTTCCTCGAATGTTTCGTGCTCTTGCATGAAAACTGTCGGCCCATTACCTGGTAGTTGCATCCCAACTTTGGCGATACGAACGAATCTCAGTATCGTGGTAATGTCGCCAACATCATGTCCCAACACTCAGTTCTCGCCGATCTGGGTGTATTCGCAAGGATTTTCGAGACCTCATGGCGAGTTGTGTTACATTTCGTGTAAATCGCCCAGGTCGCCGATCACATGCAATCAAGTGATTGGGGCTGATTGTGTCTGATTGGATCTGATCGGGCTGTTTGAGGCGGTTGATTGAGTTGGCGCGATCAGCTGATTGCCCCTAATTGCCTGAAATCTGCTTCCCGCCTTCCTCGAAGTTCTTGATCGCCTCTGATCGCGCCGATCAAAGTCGATTGGGCCCACGTCCTAATAGCGTGGGCCCAAACGGGTTTGATCGCCTCGATCAGTCGCGATAAATACTTTCGAGGAAGCCTGGAGGCCAAATTCAGGCAATCAGGGGCAATCAGCTGATCGCGATCAGCTGATCGCCCCAACTCGATCAGACCCGATTTACCCCCCGATCATAGTCGATTCTCTTCGATCACCCACGATCAGTTGATCGTGGGTGATCGAGGACAGGGCCTCAGAAGTCAGCGAAAAAAGGCTGATTTAGGTAAAAAAAGGCTGAGATTTCAGACTTCGTTTAGAACCAGGGCTGATTTTTCAACATTTTTTTTGGAAAAAAACAGGAAAAACTATGAAATTTATAGTGTAAAATGGCATAAAATGGCGAGTGAAGGGGCATGGTGCGCGCTGCTCCTCGGGCGCCGCGACGGACGGGCAGAAGAGAACGCGCGCGCGGCTCCCTAGGGCGCCGCGACGGCCTGGCGGGGCGCGCGGCCTCCTGAGGGCGCCGTGATGAGCTGACGGGGCGCGCGCGGCCTCCCCAGGACGTCGCGACGACCAGGCGGGGCGCCCGCGGGCTCCCCAGGGCGTCGCGTCGGATGGGCGGGGCGCCCGCGGGCTCCCCAGGGCGTCGCGACGGGCAGGGTGGGGGGCGGCTCGCGACTCCCCAGGGCGCCGCGACGGGGTAGCAGGAGTGGCGCGCCTGGAAGGAACGGGGCCGCGCGCCTCAGGGCGCGCGCCAGAGATGAAAAATAGGTCGCACGCCACGGGGCGTGCGACAGATCGAGTAGCAGCGGAATCAGTAGTAGGGCCCACAGATCAGGAGCATATGTGCTCTAATACCATGTGAAAACTTAGAACGAGAATTAGGCGCCATAGCTAGGAAAGTCCTAGCTAAGCAAGAAACAGTTTAGGCAAAAAAAAAGAGGTTCACTAGCAGGAATGAGGATACAAATAACAAACCCTAGAAGGGTTGTACTCGATATAGAGCACCCCACTACAGGCTAGAACATAACATTCTGACAGTTTCGCCAGAAGCCGTCTGGTCGCCAGTCTCGCTAAGGTTGCCACGAAAATACCAGGTAAATAAATCCCGCTTGCTGAGCAGAGAAGAAGATTTTTTTAAGAAAAACATTACTGATCGGGCGGCTCGGGCATTGCGATCACAAGCAACCCGATCAGATCCGCCCCGATCAGATCAGTCGTGATCAAACCCATTTGGGCCCACGCCTTAAAAAGGGGTACGGCTCGCTGTCAGAATCCCAACCACTAAACCATTGGGATAAAAGGGCTTGTTAAGTAGCGGGTCAAAGTGCGCCCATAACCCCCCAGGCAAACGCGCCTGTAACCCCCCGTAGGATCAATCTGGCATCCACAGTGCAGATCTACTGACACCCCCCCACACTGGGAGGCCCAAGACTGAGCACAGCGGCAACGGCCTACATGTGAATACACCAGGATTCGAACCCGAGACCACTCTGACACCATGTCAGAATCCCAGTCACTAGATCATTGGGATAGAAGGGCTTGTTTCAGTAGCGGGTCAGTGCGCCCATAACCCCCCAGGCAAACGCGTCTGTACCCCCCCCTAGGATCGATCGGGGATCTCACAGTGTAGCTCTACTGACACCCCCCCACACTGGGAGGCCCAGGACTAAGCACAATGGCAACGGCCAACATGTGCATACACCGGGATTCGAACCCGAGACCGCTATGATACCATGTCAGAATCCCAACCACTAGACCATTGGGATAAAAAGGCTTGTTTCAGCAGCGGGTCAGTGCGCCCATAACCCCCCAGGCGAACGCACCTGTAACCCTCTCCAGGATCAATCGGGCATTCACAATGTAGATCTACTGAGACCCCCCCAAGCGAACGCACATGTAACCCTCTCCACGATCGATTGGGGATCTCACAGTGTAGCTCTACTGACACCCCCCCACACTAGGAGGCCCAGGACTGAGCACAGTGGCAACGGCCAACATGTGCATACACCGGGATTCGAACCCGAGACCGCTCTGATACCATGTCAGAATCCCAACCACTAGACCATTGGGATAAAAGGGCTTGTTTCAGTAGCGGGTCAGTGCGCCCATAACCCCCCGGGCAAACGCGCCTGTAACCCCCCGTAGGATCAATCGGGCATCCACAGTGCAGATCTACTGACACTCGCAACAGTTGGCAGTGCTCTCACCCGGAATGGCAATCTTTGCCGAAACTGGTGTCCGCGTTTCGAAGTGCTGCTGGGAAGTTACAGCACAGTCCAAACCGCGTGTGTTTCCGCACGTGATTATGACGAGTTTTTTCGACCGCATTGAACCACAACCAACAAGCACGGTTGGGGGCGATTGCACGAACTGTTTGCCCATGTGACAACGCTCCCATTTGGCAACGTTTGATTCGTTATAAGCAAACTACACACGAACAACATATTCATATCATTACCGATTGAGTTCTCCTCACTGTTAAGTTGTTTCTGTTGTCTTTTTCATCTTAGGTTTAATTTTCTACTTTTGAAAAGTCTGTGCACTGTCATGACCATCATACGTATGTCAGAATGTTATGCTCTAGCCTGTAGTGGGGTGCTCTATAGCGAGTACAACCCTTCTAGGGTTTGCTATTTGTATTCCCATTCTTGCTAGTCCAACCCCCTCTTCCTTCATTCTAAACTTTCACATGCTATCAGAGCAGGTCGATCCCCTTGGATCGATCCTGTGGGTGGGCTCACCACCTCGTTGCTTCCGCTGCAACTGCCACTACTACTCTCTGTGCCGCACGCCCCGTGGCGTGCGGCAGTTTTTCTTCCCGCCGTGCGCCCCGAGGCGCGCTGCAGTTTTCTGCCCGCCGTGCGCCCCGAGGCGCGCGGCGGTTCTCTGCCCGCTGTGCGCCCCGAGGCGCGCGGCGGGCTTCTGCCCCGTCCCTCGACGCTTCGCCCTTGGGAGGCGCTGCGACGGGCGACGGGGACCCGCGCGTCGCCCCCAGTCGCCCGTCGTGGCCTGCGCGCAGCCCGTACAGGCTGCGCGCGGCCCGTAAGGGCTGCGCCAGGCCCGGACGCGGCCCGTATGGGCTGCGCCAGGCCCGGACGCGGCCCGTACGGGCTGCGCCAGGCCAGCGCGCGGCCCGTACGGGCTACGCCAGGCCCGCGCGCGGCTCGGGCCGCTTGCGCGCGGCTCGGGCGGCTGTGCCAGGCCCGTGGGCGGCCCCTTTCCGCGCTGCCCCTGCCCTCCCCGCTGTCCCCCGTGCTTCTGCTGGCGCCCCACCCCTCCTACGGCCCGTTCTCCTGAATTAGGGTTTGGGGGTGGGGGGTATGGGGGTGAACCCACTGTATGCCGTTCCCTGCTCCTCCTCCTCCTCCGTCTCCCTGTGCTGCAGCTGCCGCTGAGGGGGGGTGGACTTGTTGAAGCCGGTGGAGTGGTACTAAGGGGGGGTGAAGGGGGAGTGGAGCTAGGGGTGTAGCAGCGGGTGTGTGTCAGGGGGGTGAGACTGTCTGGGGAAGTTGAAAGGGGGTGGCCGCCGTGAAGCCAGCAGCTACAGTCGCCCGTGAGACCGTTGCGCTAGTCGCCCGTGAGCCCATTGCGCCAGTCGCCCGTGAGCCCGTTGCGCCAGTCGCCCGTGAGCCCGTTGCTCCAGTCGCCCGTGAGTCCGTTGCTCGTCTGCCCCTACTTTTAGCCGCGAAGCCAGTTACTCCAGTAGCCCGTGTGCCAGTTGCTCCAGTTGCCAGTGTGCCAGTTGCTCCAGTTGCCCGTGTGCCAGTTGCTCCAGTTGCGCCGTGTGCCAGCAGCTTCAGCTGCCGCCCACTACCTCCTCTCCTCTCATAGTCCCTCCTCCTCCACACTTGCCCTCTGCGATAGCCTCTAGCTTTGCTCATAATTGTGAACTTTAAACGATTGCTTCTTGAACTTGTGCTCAGAATGTGTGGTGACATTGTGATCCACCCTGAGCTTGTACTGCTTTGCTTGCTCTGCTGATTACACCCCACTTTGGCTATGGGGGTGTGTCAGAATGTTATGCTCTAGCCTGTAGTGGGGTGCTCTATAGCGAGTACAACCCTTCTAGGGTTTGCTATTTGTATTCCCATTCTTGCTAGTCCAACCCCCTCTCTTCCTTCATTCTCGTTTCTTCTCAGCGTAAGCCTAGCAAAGATGCTTGGTTCAAGGACATGAAGCATAAAGACTCTTACAAACTCAGCAAAATTCATTTAAATATCCAGTTCAGAAGAATCTGACAAGAAAAATCTTGGGTTCCAAAAAGCCCATAGGATCAATATGTCAAGCTCCACCACCTTAGACCAAAGTTGTATCCAGCCAAGGCTCACCCCCAAGGCGGGCCGGGACCGATGTCAACGCGGCCAGTAGCGACGCCAGTTGTGCGGCGTTATTAACAAAGACGTTACCGGCAAAACCGCGACTGGCAAAAGCACCACCACCTGCAAACGCATTGCCGGGAAAAACGTTCCTCCCAGACCCAGCAGTCACCATCACAACCCTCTCTAACTCCTCCACTCTCCGCTCTAGTGCATCTACATACCCCACTGATCTATCCAACATCGCACACGTGTCCCCTCGCCCCCGCACCTTCGCCCTCAGCCTCTGCAGCCCCTCACTGATCCTCTCCCTCCTCCCCCGCTCCACCATGGTCCGGCTCTTGATCCTCTGGTTCGGCGCCGAACCACTCCAAATGCCTTGGCACCGAGGCAGCCACTCGTCGTCCGTGCCACACTCGTCGTGCGCGTCGCCTTCGCGGCCGTTGCTCTCACTCTCGTTTCTCACCCCGCCCACTTGCGCCGGCACATCACAGGGGGTGACCCTCACCTCCCTCACCTCTGGCACCAGGATATGCGGGTCAACTATGGCAGGGCCCATGATAGACGCCCCTATGGCAGCACTGGCTGGGACAGACATCCCTGAATGAGCGCCTATGGCGGTGTCGGGGTTCGGCTGCACATACGAGGCACTGGTGGACCCCAGCACACTCCGGCTGTAGCACTCACTTGGGGTCTGCCTGGCGTGCTGCTGCTGCATGTGAGCGGCTGTAGCGCGGTCTGTGGGGCGGTCTGGGCTTTTCCTCTTCCTTCCTGCATCGCTCGCTGAGTTGGTGGCAGTGCTGCTGAAAAGGCTACTGTTGGTGCCACGCGCTCCCACCATCACATTGCTATTGTGGATCCCGTTGCTCATGACACTACTGGGGTTGGTGCTACTGCCACGCAGAGCATACTCAGGGTCACTACCACCACGGCTGCGGCTCCTCTCCACATGTCGCCCTCCCATGCACTCCAACTGACTAGCACCACGCAGAGCGCCATCTGGGCCGTATCTAGGAGCAAAGGTAGAATCAAGGGTGGCCTCCACTTGCTTCGCTGATGTTCCGGCGTGTGGAAGAGCAGAGAAAGCTGACAGCCAAACCTCCTCTTTCCCTCCTTCCTCCCGGTGCTGCTGCTCCTGCCGCTGTGTAACAAGTGGGGGCTGCACTAGAGGCAGCGTGAAGCGCACGGGAGGCGAAAGCATGCAGCAGCAACGTGCAAATATGGAATGCGGCTCGATGTTGGGGCTGGCCACCCGAATCGACATTCCGAGCCGCATGTCTGAATTGTAAATGTACTGTACATATAAAAATGCATTCGTAAGAATTAGAGAGTAGTTTGCTGTTTCTCTTTTTGTTTGTTCTTCCTTGCTTCTAAGGAAATTCTCTTGGGAAGAATTCTCAGCCAGAAACAACTTGAACAAGCCCAAGTGCCGTGAGCTTGTTCCACTTGGTCTCAGAGCCTGTTTCTTCCTCGTGAGTTGCTGCCGGGAGATTTTTGCACCATGGCCGATTCAGAGCGTGATGCCGCGGTTCGAGAGCTCGTAGCCAAGGAGGTGCAGGCTGCCCTGCAGAACGCAGCTGCACAGCAAAGCGTAGCTACAGCTCCGAGGAGCGTAGTGGGATCCCTTTCCCATGTGAGAGCATCAATGCCGGACCCCTTTGTTCCAGGGAAAGGACAACCGGTGGTTCGACGATGGCTCTTCCTAGTGGAAGAATATCTACGCTTGAGCCATGTGGCTGGTGAGGAGTGGGCGCCGTTTGCTGGAACCCTACTCCAAGGCTGTGCGGTTGCATGGTGGCAATCGGTGCGACCTGCTATCCAAACCTGGCAGCAATTCAAGGAAGCTCTCGTTGCGTCATACGAACCTATCAACACGATGGCAAGGGCGCGTGATCGACTTGCAAATCTGCGGCAGCATACTTCTGTTGCAGATTACATCGCTGAATTTCGTGATATCTCCACCGAAATTTCAGACCTTTCAACGGCTGAGGCGCTAGACAAGTTTAAGCGCGGATTGAAAGACGACGTTAGGATGGAGGTAGAGGTGCAGGGCTGTAGTTCGCTTGAGGAGATGGCGCGTGTCGCTGAACGATACGATGAGATTCATTTCGGTAACCGTCGCAACCGTTTTAATCGTGGGATGCGGTTCAGTCCGAACATGTTCCAGCCTTTCCATGGGGAGCAGCGTGGTGGTACAGGACCGACACCGATGAAGCTGGATACGATTGACAAGAACAAGGAGAAGCGGAAGGGCTTTGCTGGAAATTGTTTGAAGTGTGGGAAGCGTGGCCACAAAGCACTCAACTGCCCTACCAAGCCAAGGCAGCCGGGAAACAAGCCTCACCAGTAGCTTCGGGGCGAGTTGCTGGTGGTGAGGAGTGCCCCACCTTGCTGACTCCATCCTCAACGCCGCTGCAGCAGGAGTCGGAAGGAGCCATAGTACTTCGAGGGCAGATTCGTGGTAAGGAGGTAAAGATGTTGCTGGATAGTGGTGCTTCATCCATTTTCATTTCTTCTCGGCTGGTGCATGAATTGAAGTTACCTGTGCAGAGCAGTACAGTGGAGAGTACGGTGCGCATGGCAGATGGTGTAGTGAGGAGCTGTGGACCTGAGTTGTACCCGGTCAACTGCAACATAGGGGATTCATGAGAAAATTCTGTTTCGACAAATCTGGCTAGACAGTCATGACATCATCTTGGGCAGGAACTGGTTGGCAACAGTGAACCCTCTGGTGGATTGGAGAACCAGGGAGGTCAAGGTGCTGTTTGGAGGCAGATCTGTATGTTTACCAGTGGTGCAGCAGCAGGAGGGGATGACCTTGCAGCTGATTAGTGCGAAGCAGTTTGGTAAGGCCATTCGGTGGGAGGAAGCCGTTTTTCTAGGTCTCATCACAGAGGTCCAGCCTACATCACCTGACGCAGTAACACCAACGGTCTCAGCATCACATGAGGATGAGGAGTTAACACGGGGTGTAGAGAAGCTGCTGGAAATTTTTTCAGGGGTGTTTCCCGAGGACTTACCGGCTGGACTTCCTCCTAGGCGAGCTGCAGATCACAGGATAGAGTTGATTCCTGGATCTACCCCACCGGTTAGACCGACCTACAAGATGAGTGCAGTGGAGCTGAAGGAGCTGAAGAAGCAGTTAGAGGACCTATTAGCTAAGGAGTTCATTCAGCCTAGTTCTTCTCCGTATGCTTCTCCGGTGCTGTTCGTGCGAAAGAAGGATGGTTCTCTGCGGATGTGTGTAGATTACCGCGGGCTGAACAAGATAACAGTGAAGAACCGATACCCACTGCCACGGATAGATGAACTGTTTGAGCAAGTTGGTGAGGCACGGTACTTCTCGAAGTTGGATCTGCGTTCGGGTTATCATCAGGTGCGGATTCAGAGTGAGCACATCCCAAAAACAGCATTCCGAACACGGTACGGTCACTATGAGTTTCGAGTGTTGCCCTTTGGTCTCACCAACGCTCCAGCCACTTTCCAAGGCATGATGCAGAGCATTTTCAGTGATTTCATTGACAAGTTTCTGGTGGTTTTCATTGATGATTTGCTGGTTTACAGTCGCACTCGTGAGGAGCACCTAAAGCACCTTGAGCTGGTCCTTGCACGTCTGAGTGAGCACAGATTGTATGCCAAGCGTTCAAAGTGTGAGTTTGCAAAGACCAAGCTGTCTTTTTTGGGTCATGTCATTTCACATGGGAAGCTGGAGGTAGACAACAGCAAGGTAGCAGTCCTGAAGGAGTGGAAGCAGCCGAGTACAGTGAAAGAGGTCCAGGCTTTCTTGGGGTTAGCTAACTACTACCGGTGGTTTGTGAAGGGATTTGCAGCAGTGGCAGCACCTCTGACCGATCTCTTCCGGAAGGACTCATCATTCAGTTGGGGACCATTGCAGCAACAAGCTTTTGAGCAGCTCAAAACTTCTCTTACTTCACCCCCTGCCCTAGCAGTACCGAATCCAGAGCCCCCGTACTTCATTTGGTGTGATGCATCAGACGTTGCTCTTGGAGCAATTCTCTGCCAGGAGCAGGAGGCTGGGCTGCAGCCAATAGCCTTTGAGTCACGGAAGCTCACTGCTGCAGAGCGCACATACCCCATTCATGAGAGAGAGGCACTTGATGTGGTGCATGCACTGAAGAAGTGGCGCTGTTATGTGTAGATGCAGCCCGTTACAGTCTTCACTGATCACCGAACACTGGAGTACCTGAAAACACAGTCACAGATCACACCACGGCAGGCGCGGTGGGTTCATTTTCTGGAGCAGTACGTCCCCAACCTTCAGATTGTGTACAAACCAGGGCGCTTCAATCCGGCGGATGTTCTGTCACGGCCAGCAGCAGAGGAGCTGAATGTCATGGGAGCGGTTACATGGGACCGCAACTTCATCACTCGTTTCAGCCGTGGTTACAACCGTGATCAGCTGTACCAACAGAAAGCCCCCCATGACCCATCCTTTCTTTTCAGCAATCCCTTTTAAACCCGTGCAGATTCTGGTGCTGTGTGTGTACCTGATGACTCCAGGCTTCGCCATCTGCTACTACACGAGTACCATGACAACCGGTCACACTTCGGCAGTGACAAGACATATGCTGCCATTTCTCGTGACTATTACTGGCCTGGACTGTCCCGGAGTGTAGCAGAGTATGTTTCTTCATGTCCTTCCTGTCAGGTCAACAAGGCTCGCACCACTGCACCGGCTGGTCTGCTGCAACCATTGGAGATACCCACAGCCCCCTGGACTTGTGTTTCTCTGGATTTTATCACATACCTACCCCGCAACCCTACAGGCTTTGACAGCATTCTCGTGGTGATTGACAAGCTGTCCAAGATGGCTCACTTCATCCCTACAACTGGCACAGTGACTGCTGTTGAAACTGCCAAGCTGTTTTTCACACAGGTGGTGAGGCTACACGGACTGCCCTCAGCCATAATCAGTGACAGAGACACACGGTTCCTTAGCAACTTCTGGACTGCACTGTTTCAACTGCTGGGCACACAGATTCGACTCTCTACAGCCTACCACCCTGAAACTGACGGTCAGACAGAGCGCATGAACAGAACCTTGGAGGATGCGCTACGCTCGTGTGTGAATTCTATGCAAACTGACTGGGATCAGCACTTGGCAGCAGTGGAGTTTGCCCACAACAGCAGCCCCTGCGGAGATAACTGCAGCAACGGGAGCTAGGCTACGGGCTAGGCACGTGTGCTCGTGTGATCTCTGCGTTCGTTCACTTAGTCGTTTCCTTGTGTTTACGCTCCTTGCTAGTTCACGGGGAGAATTTGCAAGAGTTTCACTAGGAAAACATGACAACAATGATACAATGAAGTTGGCATAGCAAGACTACATCAGAGCAAGCATTCAGGTCGGCCAACTGCCAGCGCAGCTTGGTCGACCGCGCTCCAGCGCAGCTTGGTCAACCGCGCTCCAGCAAGGCAGGGTTGACGGCGTGCCAACGTCGCAGGTTGACGGCGTGACAGCGTTGCTCACGCAGGACAGCAATGCACTCTGCTTCGCAGTTGCGTGCAGGTGATTGGCGTGCAGAATCTCGTCACCTGCACAGCGCACACACCACGTCAACCTCGAGCTGACGACTGCCTCTGATCGGCCACGTCGACCTCGGGATACCACCACCGAGGTCGGGCTTGCCAACTTCGCCTGGGCGACCGTCGCACTCCTCCGCAGCACTTCGTCACCCAGGTAACCTGGTCGACCGGGCAACCACGTCGACCAGCAGCTCCCGTACGTGCCCGTCGACCTCCCAAGTCGACGACCACCTCCATGTCGACCTCACCAGGTCGACGACACCATCGGTCGACCTCCTCCAGGTCGATGTCCCCTCTGGTCGACCAGCTCCACGTCGACCAGCACAGTCGTCGGCCAACCACCCACGTCGGCCGCCCGAAGCGCGTCACGAAGTTGACGCCCCGCTACTCGACGCCCGACTGCTCGGCGTCCTGCGTCAAGGTCGACGTCGGTCCCTCCTTCGTCGACCACCAGTTCCAGTCGACCACCCGCAGGTCGACCAGCGGTCCGTTAGCCGACCGCTGAAGTTGGCTTCCCCAAGTTGACATCACCAAGTTGACGTCCTCCGCAGGTCGACTCCCAAGTCGACCTCCCCGAAGTCGGCGCCACCCTGAAGTTGGCGCCCGTGCAGTGGTCCCCCGTGCAGGTCGACCTCCTCGTCGACCAGCTCACCCACTGCTGCAGGTCGGCTGCACCCCTCACACCCGACCACGAAGTCGGCTCCGCCCAAGCGAGGACGGGGCCAACACCCA